TAGAAAAGTGTAACTTTCATGCTTCAAGTTTAAAATTTAAAGCTCGTTCTAACTCACTACCTCTTAAAGGAAGAAAGGAATCCTGGTCACCTCAAAATTTAGGCTTATGCTTATTATGTGACTGCGTGACAAAGGAAACCATCAATCATTTTGTATTTGATTGTACCAGATTAAAGAACATTAGAACTTTAATATTTGACCAACTTAAAGAGGAGTTTAATACAAAAAGGATTTACATATATTTTGGGAATTATTCACATCAAGCTCCCCTGAACTTGTAGTGTATTCGCTCGGATAACCAACAGAGCAGTCCAACAAGACATTATTGTAACTCAACCATTTTAATACAACAACGTATATCCGCGCGTTCGCATACCATTAGCTCCGCGCGTATCGTACAACTAATTAGCATATAACATAAACAATAATAGTAGCAAGCCTATACTCAAATATGCTACACTCCTCACCCTATAAACTTGCATGTGCAAAACTCTTAAACATCAATAACAGTAACATCAAATTTCATCTAAAATGATAACCTATCTGGAGATTTATGCATGCGCAGTGGATAGCGGCGTTCAGGTTTGTCAGGACTTGCTACATTAGAACAATCAGTAGATTCCGTAGGGGATACGTATGTACGTGTCTCATTAAGAAGAGGGAGTTCTATAAGTGGTGGGGGTATTTCTGCAGTGACAGGATCTGGTGTAATATCAGGTTCACTATAACAATTTTCAAAACAAACTTGTTTGCTCTGTACGTTGGAGTTAATTATTTGATCAACATGTCGGCGCCAGAGCACGTTAGGTCCAACACAAACTACATAAGATAATGGACCAGTACGCGTATGTATCGTTCCAGACGTCCATTTCCCTCGGTTCCTATAGTCGCGGACTGCAACAGCCTTGCCCACATTAAACGTGCGTGTCCTCTTATTAGCTTTATGAGACACTGTCTGGTCCACTTGCTTGCTCTGAACATGACGTCGGAGGTCTGGTTTCAAGATATCCAAACGCGAACGAATGTTCCTGCCCATGAACAGGACCGCTGGTGGTTGTCCCGTCGTACAGTGTGGGGCATTCCTGTAAGCAAGCAGAAAGTTAGCCAATTTAGCTGTGATCGACCCTTCCTCTCCTTCCATCGCTTTCAATGCTTGTTTAAGGGTTTGAACAAAACGTTCAGCCAAGCCATTCGTAGCTGGATGGTAAGGCGCTGA